GTCTCGAACTCCTGAGCTCAAACAATCCACCCGCCTCGGCCTCCCAGAGTGCTAGGATTACAGGCGTGAGCCACCGTGCCCGGCCCACTCTCCCTCTTTAAAACAAGGCAGTGGGGCTCCAAGGGCCATCCCAGTCCTAGAATCTGTACTGTAGATGACTTGTCCTGTCCCGACCCTAGGGTCTGACCCTGACCCTGACCCAGCCTGATTTCCTCTGCTCTCATTCTAACATTCTCAGTGCCAGGAAGTCCCTGTCTATGTCTCACTCGGTCCCCCTGCTACAGCTTTAAGCTCAGCTCCTTCTGCATCCAGCCTCTGTAATGTTGAGTGGGAGACACGGGGCAGATGGCAGACGGGCAAACAGACAGATAAAGGTCATCAGCTGCTACCCACCTGTCCAAAGCGGGGGAAGTAGGGCGGACTGTTAGGAAGGACATCATTCATTCCTGCAGCACAGTGGGCAGAAGGTCAGATGTGGGGTGGAGTAGGGCAGCCTGGGACCAGAGAGTGTCCTGGGCTCCCCACTCCAGATGCCCTCTCTCTGCCACCCAGCAGAACTGCCCCGCAACACCACCCAGGGAAGCCATTCTCCCTGCCCTCATCCCCAGGCTCACCAACATGCCACAGTGGTAGGATGATGGGGTTAAGATGACACTCAGCAATCAGGCGCCCGATTCCTGTCAGGGGGGAGGCAGAAACACTGGCAAAAGCTGGGTTCTGGGCCAAGCTTCTGTGCCAGCCTATAGCCAGTGCCACCCAATGTCCCCCAGTTACAACCAGCTACCCTAGGCTAGCCCTCATCTCAGTACCTGTCCCCTCTCTGCTGCTACAACACACCCATCTGCCACAGTGCAACCTAGCCCAGAGGGGGCAGGAGCCAGGGTCCCACAGGACCACCTCTGGGCTGGGAGGACAGCCGTGCCCAGGGGCAGCATCCCTTACCCCACTTGAAGCGCAGAAACTCAGAGCTCATGTTCACTTTCCCTGGCGAGAGAGCACAGAGGTGAGGCTCAGCGGCCCATCCTGCTCACACTAGGGGCTTGACCCGCCAGCCTGCTGACCTTCTGGGAAGATGTGCACCCAGTCCCCATGGTTGAGCTTCTCCAAAATGAAGTCCATCCCCTTCTGGTAGACGCCGTCTCCTGAAGACAAAAGGCCTCTCCCCATCAGTCCCCATTCAGGGGTGGGGGTGTCAGTGAAACAGGCCCATGTGTTAAGGCCTCTCCCCATCAGTCTGCCCCTTACTGGAAGGGGGAAGGAAGCAGCAGCTCAGGGATCTCCTCATGCCCCACTGTGCTGTCCACACAGACACCCTCCAATGACTGTCTTCTGGGCCTGCTCAGCCCCTGGGCACACTGTGGCCCTTGACTTCCTTCGTTCAACAATATCCTCTAAACCTCAAATGTTTGTCACATGCAAGGTAGCATCATCTCAAGACATCTCCTACTCAGATTCTGAACTTGGCAATTCCTCCACCTACCTAAGACCCCCCTTTCAGTGGCTCACCTGCTAAGATGCTTCAGCCACATATACCTGTACACCCTCAAAGACCCCTAGGTCAGCTCACTGCCCACCTTCCCTTCCAGCCAGGTCCCAGCTGCCAGTCACCACTCTCAGAGCCTCCCTTTCTCCTTGGATGCAACACCCCAGGGTGATCCTACCATGTGCTGCCCCTGGCCCAGAGGGCACTGCTGAAGCAAATCAAGCCCAGCCTCACAACCTTTTCCTAGTGTGTTAGCCAGTTCCCACGGCCACTCCTCACAGGGCACCTGCCTGAGGCCTCAGCCTCCACCATTCCCCCCTCATGCTGGCCCCTTCTTCTCAAGGTTCCCCTGAAAACTAGACCCTCCCTTAGGGAGGCCTCTCGGGAAGGGAAAACATTCAGTTGAACACATAGCATCAAGAGCTTAGGAAAGGCTGGGTGCGGTGGCTCACGCCTGTAATCCTAGCTCTCTGGGAGGCTGAGGCGGGTGGATCGCTCAAGGTCAGGAGTTCGAGACCAGCCTGAGCAAGAGCAAGACCCCGTCTCTACTAAAAAATAGAAAGAAATGATCTGGACAACTAAAAATATATATATAGAGAAAAAATTAGCCGGGCATGGTGGCGCATGCCTGTAGTCCCAGCTACTCAGGAGGCTGAGGCAGAAGGATTGCTTGAGCCCAGGAGTTTGAGGTTGCTGTGAGCTAGGCTGACGGCACAGCACTCACTCTAGCCCGGGCAACAAAGCGAGACTCTGTCTCAAAAAAAAAAAAAAAAAAAAAAGAGCTTAGGAAAAACTCAAACTTGATAGACTGAAAAAAGTGGAGTCAAGCTGCCCCTGATTCTAGCAGCCTTCCACTTAGGAGACAGCCTGACACTAGACCAAAGAGAAAGAAATGCAAACCTGGACTGAGGTGGCCCAGCAGTTGGCCACAACACAGAGGCAAATGCCTGATGCTGTGTGCTGGCTTGCATCTTGGTGTCGCTTGGAGACAACAGTACCCAGTAAGAGTCTCATAAACCTCGATGATGGAAAAGTAACCATATGGTGGACAAAAGCAGGAAAGAGGAAGGGGGAAGGTTGAAAGAATGGAGTATAGTAAATATCCTCATTTTATCAGGTGGGGAGTAAAGCAGCCCTATCACAAAGAGGGAAAGAGACAGACATTAGGAATATCTGTGGTCGATGTAGTAAGAAATGGACTTTTAACCTGTTCTCTGCAAGGCTGATTCTTTGGAAGGTGCTAGTTAGGGATCCAGGATTCTCAACCTAACCCAAATAGGGACCTGACCCAGCAGCTCACTCAGGGGCTAGAGGTGGGGAGTGACTGATTACCCACTTAAGTCCAAGTAAGAGCGGTGGTTTCCCTACTTGGGATTGCAGTATGTAGCAGGGGGTGGTCTTCATAGGTGCTGGTCCTTCTCTACTAAAGCCCACTGGTACAATCTATCCATTGAGCTTGAAATTGGAATTAAAAAATAATAATGATATTCTTTTAGAGCAACCCTTCATAATTTTTAGCTTTTGCAAATGCTATTGCTACCCACTTGCGTAGCTTGCATAAAATCACTTGAGTTCTTAAATATATTACAAAATCTATGGAGAAAAAGGGAATTTATCGGAACACAGAAGCAAAGTATGTCAAATACGTCCTTTACTTTAATCACGTGTTATTATTAGATCTTTGCTGCATGCCAAATGGGTTTGATAAATAACTTGTCCACCCACTTTCTCTCAATGAAGGTGCTTGGGATTAAGATTTCACTTTGTTTCTAATTTCACAACAAAACCTAGATGCAGATGAAAAATAAAGAAGTGGATATGGAAGGCCTCTGCCTGAGGTTGCAGAGAGGAGGAACTGAGACTCAGGGACAGGGAATAAATAAGCAGAGTCCCCATTTCTCAGAGCAGGTTGCAATAAACAACACCACGGTCATTCGCCAAGACACTGTGGCCTCTGCTTATTATCTTACAGAGATAGAAGTAGTCTCCAAAAGCAGCAAAAAGAGGAACCATTCCAAGGGGTTGTTTCTGGGAAGTGGGACTAGAGATGTGAAGGGGTAGGCACCGCCATGTTCCATTAAAAGTCCTTTTGATTCAACCTGAGAAAGCTGATATAAATAAATAAATAAAAGCCCTTTTGTTATTTGAGGTTACTTTATGGGGTTTTACCATGTTCTACTTAGACCAACTAGAAATAATAAACTCTCCCTTGACTTCTAATATCCTTTGGTTACTCCCTCCTCTCCCTTCTTCCTCATAAGGGAATCTCTGGGAAGAGTGGCCCCCCTGCTGTCTGTACTCTCTGGCCTACTGCAGTGCCACCAGCCCTCTCAGGCCACAGCAGGCTGGCTCCTGTGGCCGTCACTGCATGGGAATGGCTTCTCCAGGGTCACCTGTGGCTGCCATGGTGCCACAGGCACCTGGTTTGCTTCTTTCCTCTCTGGACATTGCACCCTGCCACCTTGGTGGCTTCTCTCTCCCTGTGTGCTTTGAGGTACCATCCTGGGCCACAGCTCGCTCTCCTTGCTCCCTCTAGAATCTTGCCTCTAAGTCCATGACTTCATTTGTAGTTGAATCCCCAATATCTTTATTCCTGATCATTCTTCTGAGTTCCAGAACTGCATATCCCACTGCCTCTGGGACTGTTCCCTTGCACAGGTGACAGGCTCCTCAGATGCAGCACATGCAGAACAGGACTCACCCTCTTCCCTCCCAACCCCATGCTGGGTTCCCCTTGCCCCATCCTCCTGGAGGCTCAGGCCAAACACCTGGTGTCTGCTGTGAGTTCTCTTTTCCTTATCCCATCCCACATCTAATCCATTTACAAGTCCTGCCAACTCTGCCTCCAGTGCATATCCCAAAGCAGTCCCCTTCTCCAGCTCTCCACAGTGACCCCTGGAGGCCCAGCCACAATCATCTGCTACCAGAACTACTGCAGCAGCCCTGCCCCCACCCAGCCCTGCTCCCATCCAGTAGCCAGGATGCTGTCTCTGAACCACAGATGCAAGCATGTTAGCCCCCTGATCAGAGAGTAGAGCCCAAAATTCTTAACAGGACTATTCCAGAACTTTCACATTCTGTCTACAAGCTACATTTCCTACCTTTCAGTCTTATCTCTCCAGCACCTGGCATGTGCCTGCCCATGTCCAAAACACCTCTCCCCTCGTTATCTTCTTGGAAAAATTCTGATTCCCCAGAAGAGAAAGCAATCTAGATTCTAAGCCTGGCTTTGCCACCTCTCAGCCCATGACCTTGAGCCAGCAGCTTAATCCCTCCAAACCCCTCATCTGGAGAATGGGGACCAAAACGGCAAATGGGGCAACCTCCTGGGGTTCTTGAGAGGTCCCAAGTAGTCACTCAATCTCAGACACTTCTTCCCACGAGTTTGTTTGTTCTCCCAGAAGCAAAATCCTCTGGCCTCCCAGGACATGCTACCACCATCATGGACTGATGACAATGCACTACTGTCAGTGAGTCTCCCAGTGACCTCCCTGAGAGAAGGGGCTGTGGATAATGCCTCCTTGAATTCCAATGCTAGAGCTCCGGCTCCACACAATCCCTGGGCAGTTGCAGAGATTGAGGGCTCTCCAAGAAGCCATCCCTCCTCCAGCAGCCTCTGCCCCCTCTGCTGCCACATGATGGGGGTGGGGCCTCACACTGGCTCCCGGACTGCCTGTCTCCCATGGGTCATTCCAAGACAGAGGTGCTGGCCACCAGCCTCCCTGCCCTAGAAGCACCTCCCTGCACTCTCCGGAGAAGAGCTCACCTCGGCACACAGGCACACACTTGCCCAAGCTGAAGAAGTGGGAATGCAGCTCCTTGGTGAAGCAGATGTCTGCAGCCGCAGGGGTCCTGGGGCAGGGACAGATGTAGTCAGCCCCACCTCCTCTGCAGCCTGCTGCCCCACCCCACCCCCAGCACAAGACCTGACATCACTGGCATGCAGAAGGGAGGCACAGGAGGGCCTGTGGGGGCCCCATCCCATGCCCTGCTTGGACTGCTGGACGCCACCTCCTGGGCAGAGCAGGAGGAGGGCAAATCTGGGCAGAGACGGGTGGGGGCTGTTGGGCCCACTGTGAGGGGCCCATTCCTCCTCACCAACGCATCAACTTCAGGTTCCAGATGTGGCGAAGTTTCAGGATCCCTAAAGAAAGAGAGGAAAGGCTTCATGCCCCAACTTCCCTTGTCTCCAAGGAATGCCCTTTCTGTCATCCCATTTCAGAGAATGAAGGACAAGGGTGACAGCAGTACCATTTCCCTACAGCCCAAAGTGGAATTTTCAGACCTTTGGGCTGGACCCCCATTTTCTCCCTGGCTCCTCCCTCTCCACAACCCTCCTTACTAGTCACTGCATCTGGTCTGCCTACCTCTCCAATATATTTTGACAATGCCCATTCTACAGCTTTCCCTCCACTATCACTGCCACCATCCTAGTCTAGGCTACTGGACAGCTTCAAGGCCTCCTTCCTGGCCTCCCAGGATCCACCTGTGGCATCCTACAGGCCATTCTCCACCCAGCAGCCAGAGTGAGCTTTGAAAGGCTCCAGTGTGACCAGTTGGCCCCCATGAGCTCTAGGATAGTCTAACCCCTACATTCAGATGTAGAGGTCCTGGGCACCCCTCCATCCAGCCATTTGGTTACTGGAGCCAAGCAACTTCCTGTGAAGTCACAGAGCAGGAACTTCTAGGTGTGGCAACCAGGCTCCTAAATGGGGCTGGCTGAAGGCTACAAACCTAGCCAGGGGCAAACCTGGAACCAGGACACAGGTCTTCCAGCCCCTGGCCCAGAGCTTCCTCAACAGGACACCCTATGGTCCCCGAACATGTTCACAAGACTATGAGACCTTCAACAGTTTCGAGAACAGAGGGTTCCACAGGCCTGATCAGAGTAAAGAAGCTGTCAGACCTTGCTGTGTGGCCAGTTTCTCATTCCTTCTAAATTTCTCAGGCCCTCTTCAAATCATGTTCCCTGAGGAGATCCTGAAGGGGCCACAAATCAGACTTTCACCCCTGGGGCAGGACACCAGAAACAAGACTGCCAGGACTACACAAAGAGCCACTGAGAAGTGAGTTTGTCCTGCTTTTGTTTGGCTCCATCCAGAGTTCTCTCCCTTGCTCCCTGTGCCCAGTACACTAAACTGGGTACCCCAGAGATGAGGGTCATCCATGCAGGACTGGTGATTGGAAACGGTGATGAGGGGCGTGGCAGGGCCTCGGTTCTCGATGAGTTCGTACAGCACCTCCTTGTTGTGGACGGTGAGGTGATTCATGCACTCTGCGGGGAGAGGGGGAGTAGAGGGGTCTCAGACTCCTTCTCCCCACCGGGCCCAGGGCTTACCCCCGCCAGGCTAGCCCCTGCCAGCGCCCCCAGCCCCAAGCCCCAACTCTGGCCGGGCGTGGGGATCCGTGACAGACGCTGCCTCGGCCTCGGGCCCACTCACTGGTCCAGAAGCAGCTGTAGGTGCCCACCAGGCCCATGACGACGCTGCTGGCCAGGGTCCAGGTGAGCGGCGGCACCGCGGGGAACGGCCATTTCACGTTTAGGGGCATCTCCCCCAACCCCCGCCGGCGGCAGCCCGGCGCTCCCCCCTGCCACGGAGCAGCCTGTGGGGCCGCTCTAGGTCTGTGTCCTTAACCGCTCAGGAGAGGGGTTTCTGACAGGCTCGCGCAGATGGGCGGCACGGCGCGACAGGGGACTCAACCAAGGTCACCTCGCGGGTCAGACCAGAGCTGCACCCGGCCCTGCTTTCTCGCCACAGAGGAGCCGCCACCGGGGTCAAAAGCTGGGGTCGCAGCGACGGGCGGAAGGGATCGGAAGAGCAGACCACGGCAACCACCGGCCGCTCCAACCCGCCGGAAAGCGAGTCCGCGGCGGCGCCGCCGCCTGTCGCAAAACGCGCGGCACTGCTTGATGGCAGTGGGGGTAGGCCCGCGGGGCGCGTGGCCATGGCACCGCCCCATCCCGCCCTGCCCTGGCGCGGATCCCGATTCGAGGCTGCTGGCTGCTTCCCTTTTGTCTCTTTTTTTTTCAAGCCTTTACTCTACAGCCAAACCTTTTGTCTCTTTAATTCATCCCCAGAAAAGTCTCCGCAAATGACATGGGCTGCCCAGCACGATTACCTGACATCACTAAAGGCCTGGGCTGGTGGAGCACTTTTACTTCATTTGGTTTTTTTCCCCTTTACTTTTATTGAGGTAAAATCCACATAATAGAATTAGCCATTTTATAGTATTTTATACCATCTTATGTTATATATAATATCTTTACAATGTGTATGTTATATATTACATTATGTAATTTTACACAATTATATAATACAATTCTACCTAATTACAATAGTACATGGTTGTACTATATATGTAATATATAATGTAATGTGTGATAGAATATGTAAGATATAACATATAGTAATATATAATATATTGTATATTATATGTAATATAAAAACATAATATTTTATACCACTTGGTACATTCACAAGTTGTCAATCACTACCTCTAACTAGTTCCAAAACATGATCATCACTTTGAAAGAAAGCCCCTCACCCGTTAAGCAGTCTATTTTTTATTTTTATTTTTTATTTATTTATTTATTTTGAGACAGAGTCTCACTCCATTGCCCGGGCTAGAGCGCCATGGCATCAGCCTAGCTCACAGCAACCTCAAACTCCTGGGCTCAAGCGATCCCCCTGCCTCAGCCTCCCAAGTAGCTGGGACTACAGGCATGCGCCACCATGCCTGGCTAGTTTTATATATATATATTTTTAGTTGTCCAGCTAATTTCTTTCTATTTTTTTAGTAGAGACGGGATCTCGCTCTTGCTCAGGCTGGTCTCCAACTCCTGAGCGCAAATGATCTCCCCCCCCCCGCCTCGGCCTCCCAGAGTGCTAGGATTACAGGCGTGAGCCACCACGCCCGGCCTATTTTTTATTTTTAAACCATAATTTTATTGATTTAAAAAATTTTTCCAACCTTCTGCCCATCACCACGCCCAATCCATTAGCGAGTAAGTCCTACCGGCAGGGACATTGTCCTGCATGACCTCACTACAACCATCCGATGAGGACATGAACGGATTCGGATCCACCGCTCGCCTGCAGACCCTGTCCGAATCCTCCAGTTGTCCCAACGGCATCACTGCAGGACTCTACGGGGCACTGAACTGCCAGCTCTCTAGTCCCTCCCCTTCTGTCTGGGACCATTCCTCAGTCCTCCCTTGACTTCCACAACCGTGGGCAGTGAGCGGACTGTCCCTTGCTTTGGGTTTCTGGAGCGCTCGGCTCAATATGCCCTAACTCAGGATTGTGCGGCCACACCCGGGGCCAGCGCCTGAGGACATGGAGAGAAGGCTCTTGTCCTCGGGGTGCCCAGGCTCGCCACGGGGCGTCCCTGCGTCGGGCATGAGTTCCACCTCCTGCGCTTTCCGCACCGCTGCTACCTGGAGGCAGCCCGTGCTGGGGGCCTAGCGCCAGGCCTGGGCGAGCGCATCGCGGGCATTCCATTCTGGCGCCAGCTTCTCGCCCCGGGCCCTTGGCACAGGTAGCCGCCCATTAAGGGGCTGCTGCTGCTCCGTCGCGACGGCGGCCGGCCTGCCACGCTTTAGTGACTCATGGGTCTGTCATCTCCCGCAGCCCCAGCTCCGCCAGAGCGCAGCCCCACGCCGGCCCAGGCAAAGCGGAGTCTAGGTGGGAAGATGGGCGGGCAGGTCGGCAGTTCCCAGGCCCCGCGCTCAGGCCTGGGAACTGTAGGGGGCGGGGCGGACCCCGAACGGGCCTGCCCATCGGCAAGGGTGGGGCGTCCGGCCCCGCCCCGCTGGGTGAGTAGGGAAGACAGCCGCTTCTTCTTTTTTCCTCTCCGGTCCCTAAGCAGGCAGGAGCTGCGATTTGGGAGTGTCGCGATCCGCTTAAGATTGAGGCAGATGTGGTGACAAGCTGGTCTGCGCAGGTATGGGAAGTCTCTGGGCAGAGAGGAGGGAAGAAGAGTTGCCCCCTGCCTGGGGGATGGGTTGGGAGGGGAAGGGAACCCCAGCGCTGGGGCCAAGGCTGGTATTGGGAGCCTGGGCTGAGCTTTGGGCTGAGGCCAGAAAAAGTCGCTCTCTCTGGTTCCTCTTGCTTATAGCCCTCGTGGGGGTCCCTGGCCCCAGAACCTTCAAGCTGGCCCATGTCAGCCCAGGGCTGCCCGAATGCCCACATACATCCCAGAATAGGCACCAGGGCAGGGAACCCAAAATAGCATGAGTGGCAGAGCAGGTGCTCAGGGAGAAACAGGCATCAAACCCAGCCAAGAGGGAGACACTGTGACAGAAAGAGAGGGGAAGAACAAAGAGAGGGAGACAGAGACAGAGCGTAAGAGAGGCAGAAAGTACCTTGGAATGCAAGCAACATAGACAGGGAATGGAGTGAGGGGCTGAGTCCTGGCAGGTCGGGGTGAGCCTGAGACAAAGATAAACCCAGGAATGCCCAGAAAGAGGGGGCTCTAGCCGGCAAGATGAACAAGAAGGGCTTGCCAGTGCTAGCGAGGGCGTGGGAAAGAGGCCCCATTACACATTGCAGTGGGGATGATTTGGCCATATCTAAGATCATTTTAAATGCATACACCCTTGGACCTAGCAATTCCACTGCTGGGACTCTATTTTAAGGATAACATCTCACAGGCTGAGGTGGCTCACACCTGTAATTCCAGCACTTTGGGAGGCCAAGGCAGGAGGATCAGTTGAGCCCAGGAGTTGGAGACCAGCCTGGGCAACACAGTGAGACCCCGTCTCTACAGAAAATTTAAAAATGACTTGGGTGTGGTGGCGAATGCCTGTAGTCCCAGTTACTCAGGAGGCTGAGGCAGGAGCATCGCTTGAGCCCAAGAGTTCGAAGCTGCAGTGAGCTATGATGACGCCACTGCATTCCAGCCTGGGTGACAGAGCCGGACCCTGTCTCAAAACAAAACAAAATAAAACATAACATGTCACAAGTGGGGAGAGAGAGATGCACGAAGATGTTCCTCTAGTTGCTGATAGAAATGAGGTTATGAGCACCTGAGCCTCCCTGAGTCGAGAGCTGGCTGCATCTCCCGTAGTTAGTGTGTCTGGGGAGGGGAACACTATGCAGCAATTTAAAAGAATGAGGGAGCGGGTGGAGGCTGCAGCTCCGACGTCGGCGCGGGCTGGCGGGGCTCGCCCGCGATGGCCTCAGGATGGCTGAGTGCGCCGCCCGCTGGGCCTGAGGGCCCGCCTGACGCGCCGGCTTGCGCCCATTGCCTGGGATCCGCTGGCGCTGGGCACTTGGCGGCCCCAGCGATCCCATCGGGGCTGTGCTGCTGTCGCCACCGCCCAGCCGCCGCCCGGCTTGGCCGCCTCTGTGGTGTCTGTCTGTCTCCAGGTCCGCGCTGCTGGGGGCTCGGGTTGCGGGGCCGCAGCAGCCTGAGAGCGGCGGGTGCAGCTTGGACGCCTGGGCGGGCTGGCGGGGTTCGCCGCAGACGGACTCAGAGTCTCCCAGTGCGCCGCCGGCCTGGCCTGAGGGCCCGCCTGGCAGTGCCGGCCCGCGCCGGGAGCGCGGGAGCCACTGGCGCTGGGCACTCGGCGGCTACAGGGGATTGGGGCCAAGCGGCGGGTTCCCACTCCTGAGCCGCTGTCACCGCCGCCTAGCCGGCCGCCTGGCTTGGCTGCCGCTGCTGAAGGCGCGGGCAGAGTCGGGGGTTGCTGGGCCTCCGCAGCCTGTGCGCCTAGAGCCCGCGTCCAGGGCCCCAGGCAGCCGATGAGCATGGAGGAGCAGTGCCTGCTCGAACTGATGGTGGAGGACTCCCTGGACCCCTTCTTCAGGCATGTTCTGCAGCTGGTGTCAGAAAGGAGAAGACGAGGATGAAGAAAAGTACATTGATGTGGTGTTTAATAAGAACATGAAGCTGGAACAGAAAGTGTTAATTCCTGTAAAACAGTTCCCTAAGTTCAACTTTGTGGGGAAACTTTTGGGTCCACGTGGTAATTCTCTGAAGTGTTTACAGGAAGAAACCTTGACCAAAATGTCCACCCTTGGGAAAGATTCCATGAGAGACAAGGCAAAGGAGAAGAAGAGTTGATGAAAAGTGGAAAAGCAAAGTACTTCCACCTCCATGATGATCTCCATGTTCTCACTGAAGCATTTCCCCACCTGCAGAGGCCCCATGGGATGTACTTTGCGAGAACTCAAAAAGTTCCTCATCCCTAACTATAATGATGAGATCAGGCAAGCATAGCTCCAGGAATGATCATATTGGAATGGCAGTTAGGAAATGCAGATGTTCCAGTGGTTGGAGGGAAACCCACCTTGCATGCAAGAGGTGCACCAATCCCAGCACTAACCAGGGGAAGGGGAGAAGTCACAGCCCAGCTGGTTGGAGTTGGTGTCCCAAGAGGGGCACCAACTCCTAAGGGAGTTCTTTCTAACTGAGGGCCAGTGAATCAGGGAAGAGGACCTCTCACTCCCAGAGCAAGAGGAGTCCCCCCCAACTGGGTACAGACCTCCACTGCCACTCTCAACACAAAGAGACCTATGGACAACATGACTGTGATGATGAATATGGCACTGCTTATGATAAGCGAAGTTATGATTCCTATGATAACAGCTGTAGCTCCCCAGCCCAAAGTGATGCTGATTACTGTGATTACGGACTCAGACTCAGTGTGGAGACGCACAATTCTTATGGGCAAGAGGAATGGACTGACTCAAGACACAAGGACCTTCAGTGAGGACAGCAAAGGATGCATCTACAGAGACCAGCCATATGACAGTGATTGTATTGTCTGATGTTGTGAAATAGCCAATCTCCACCAGTCCTGTAT